TAGAGGCTTTCCACGGGGCTAGTGCGAAAAGCACTCGTGGAGAGACGGATGCCTTGATTATGAACAGGGTCAAGCATTTTAAGGGCAGTAGGTGTCGCAGACTGATATGATATTGCCCCATAGTGTAGGCGGGTACGTACGAGGCTTGTACACAAATTCATTACACACTTCTTGTCACTTCCCCACGTAGTGCGTGACAACACTTTCAAAACGTTCATGTCTTTTATGCACTTGTTTTTTAAATACTTAATATGCGGCATGAAGGTTAGCTTGGTGTACAAGATGAGGCCTAAGAATTTGTGTTCGGTGCTAACAGAAAGGCGTTGCCCACGAAGCTGAATATCAGGTTCGGAATGAAGGCCTCTCTTCCTGGAAAACAAGACACACGTGATTTTCTGTGTATTCAGTCGGAACCCGTTTTCTTCTGCCCATTTGGATACTTTGTCCAAACCAAGCTGAACCTGCCGCTCGCAGATGGACAGGTTAAGAAATTTGAAATCAAGCTGGACGTCGTTGACATATATACAATAAAACATATTGCGAGGAATGAAAAAGCGCAATGAATTCATTTTAATGAAAAAAGTGTGCAACTAAGTGCACCACCTTGCGGCACGCCTGTTTCTTGGACAAATGTTTGGGAAAGAACACTGCCTACTCGAAGGCAGAATGTCCGGTTTGACAAGCAGCTTTTTATTATAATAAACACATGGCCAAGCACGCCAAGGTGGGACAGGTCTCTTAATATTTCAAAGCGCCATGATGTATCATATGCCTTTTCAATGTCAAGGAACACAGAAAAAAAGTATTTCTTGTGGACGAAAGCATCTCCACTCTGTGCCTCAATACGAACAAGGTGGTCGGTGGTGGACGTATACCCTCTCGAAACCCGCACCGAAACGCATCGAGCAAATTGTTTGTTTCAAGAAGATGTACAAGTCGGCAGTTTATCAGTTTTTCGAAAAGTTTGCACAAGCAGCTTGTAAATGCAATAGGCCTATAACTCGGAACTGAAGAAGGGTCTTTGCCCTCTTTCAAAATGGGAATAATAGCCTCTTTCCAGGAAGTAGGGATAGTGCCAAAAAACCAGATAGCATTGTACAGACAAATTAAGGTTTTTTGCGTTTCATTCGGCAGGTTTTTTAACATATCGTACACCACTCGACCAGAACCTGGGGCGGAAACAGTGCAGGAGTTTAGTGATATCTGGAACTCAGCCAAGCCGAAAGCCTGGTTGTATGCTTCGTGTTTTGTACATTTGTATTCGAGTTTGTGCTTCTCAAATGTTGTTTTATGTTTTTGGAAAGCGTCAGTATAGTTGGACGAGCTGGACACTCGTTCGAAGTGTGTGCCGAGGTACTTCGCCTGATCTTTCAAGCTGTTTGTGTTTACGAGTGGAAGCGAGTGTACTTGTTTTCCCGCTACCCTACTAACCATGTTTCAGACTTTAGCCTCCTGTGTATACGAGTTGATCCCTGTTAAAAACTTGTGCCAACTATCCCTTCTGGCCTGCCGACGCGTTCTACTGCCTCGAGATTTTATTTTCTTAAAGCTGTCAAGGTTTTCCGCTGTCAGCGAGTTCCGAAGCAACCTCCATGTCCTGTTCTGCTCCTTTCGCGCATTACGACACTCAGTGTTCCACCATGGGATGCGTCGCTCTCCGGGCAGTCCAGATGTTTGTGGGATGCACTTGGCTGCTGCGTCAGTAAGAAAAGCTGTGAAGTACTGCACAGCTTCGTCTATGCCTAACCCACGTATGTCAGTCCAACTTGAGTGAGTAATGTTATAAAATTGTTCTCAGTCGGCTTTGTTTAGCAGCCATTTGGGAACATGTGGAGGACATTCATATACGCGAGTGTGTAATTGCGCATTTTGGTGAGTACGTACCGGCATTCATATTTTATAAGTGAATGCACCACAGTCTTAGTGTTGAAAGGATACGTTCGCAAGCAGTTTTAATTATTACGTGGCTGCACCGTGGAGGGCTGTTTACATGATGTAGAGCTTGTCTTAAGCATCATGCCAGCCCTTATTCGCGAAATAGTGTCATACTAATTGTATTCGCAAGGTAATGTTTAAGCTAATCCTGATAATGGGACATGCGCATTTGTGACCTCGACCAAGTAATGACACACGCACACAAAATAGAAGCTTTGTGAATTCGGCAGACTACGTTAAATGTTGCTATAAAGCTTCAGCATTTCAATACATGATCCAATAAATGTGTATCATGTGTGAGTCAGTTGCACTCTTCTTAACGTATGCCCGTTAAGTGTGTATGACTTGAGATATATTCAACGCTTGCAAACACTACATCAAATAAATTGTTCACTAATGCACTCATAAAATTTTCCATGAATTTCTATCTGCACCGCCCCTCTCGAATACGGCGAGCACGTCAAAAAACCCCAGGTGGTTGAAATTTCCGGAGCCCTCCACTACGGTGCCTCTTATAATCATATCGTAATGTTTGGACAATGACCCCCCAAATAATTCAATCAATCGATTAAATACGGCGCAGTTGCAATCACATCATCCCTCTGCATAAGATAGTTCACACTAGTTCGAGTGTTCGAGCACCCATATCTATCATTTCATCTTCTGCACTTTGTACCTGGCGACTTGATATCCTAAATTCTTCGTAAAAAACAACACGGTAAACGCGAGACGAAAAACAGGACAGGATAGTGTAAAATATAAACGTTTCAGTTAGTGCGAACAAATAAATACGTCTTGGAAATGTATCACTGATGAATCCACGCAACCCAGCTCAAGTGTTTACCCTTTCTATGATCCCCTAAATGTTTTGCTCATTAAAAATATTCCGAATCGTTTTCGTTTTTTTTTTTTCACCGCAGAACGTTGATTTATGGAATGAGTTTCACGAGTCTCCGAAGAGACTCGGTGCTGAGGAGTTTGAGACAAAAAAATGTCGAAACGTGAATTTTGCTCAATTGCGTTTTTTTTTATATAGGTTCTCTATTCACACCTGCTGTCTCAACAAATGAGACGGCATAATTGGTGAATTGAGACAGCAGTATTGGTACTCGGGAAAATGTATTTCTTGAATCTAAGGACAAATTCTTATCCTGACATGCCCTTGAATCAACCCCCTATCCTCCCTCCCACTTCGGCGTCACGCCGCCGCCGAACCGATGGACCCCGCGCCGATGACACGCCGCCGCCGAAGGTGGAAACCCCGGAGCGCCGCCGCCAGTGATTTGGCACCGACGCACAGGTCTATATTTAACACAATGACACTCGGTTTTTTATATTATCTTGCTGGTCACGATAAATCACTTTAGGTTGTTCACTTCACAGGCCAATCTACCTGCGAAGCCAACATTTTAACGGTTTAAGCGTTGTTCATTTTGTAACAGGAAGATTTGATAGAGCCGTCATTTATAGCATTCCGACAAAACGGTCAGATTCTAATGGTGTTGCTGCTTGTATACACTGCAAAAGCTTCAAGGTATCTGCGGCATTTAACTGCAACTCTCGTTGAACAGATTAATGGTCGTATATAGTTTTCAATGCTTGTAATGGTATGTTACAAAGTACGAGGTGTTCAATCCGACTCATGTCCACCGCCACTGGAAGCCGATCATTTAGGAATTATAATTCCGTATGTTGTACAACATTACTGAAAAGAACAACGCATACCTAAGTATCGCAGCTTATATGTCGTAACTATACAACAATACGTGTGCTGTGACAATGACATACGGGATATTTAGAGTGTGGTTTCATCGAGCTGACCAAAGCTTGTTATATTAAAGACGGAAGTAAGTGTGCTCTTTAAAATAATATAAAATTCTGCATCGCGAGCAGAAGAATCTTGGTGTGACTGTTTCGCCTTGAAACGCTTCGCTTCGCACGCACAAAAGGTCACCCTGAACGTGGACACAAGCGAGCATTCCGACTGAAACACGCGTGAATTGATGTACAGTCGTCATCGAGTGAGAATGACTGTACTGCGGCATATGCTGTGCCTCGCGATAGCCTTTTGTGAAGCATTTAATGTAACTATTTATAATGTCTGAAGCCCTGGAAAACACTGGGCCTCTTCAGAGCTTATGAAGTTCACCAAAACACTTGTAAAGCACACACTTAGGACTGTGCAGCGCTCACAAAAGAGACAAGGGCTAGAAGTGGCGAACAGGACATGCGATGGCCTCAAGCGAATGTTTCTGCTGAAAAACAAAAAAATTAACAAAACAAAAACACCGAGTCACGTGACGTGTGCTCTAAACGAAAAAAAGTTCTCTAGCTGATGCCCCTCAAGAAAGCATGCGCACAACCAATTACAACTCAAACTGCCGCACGTACTAACGTACACGTTTTCTTTTTCCAAAGCTTAATTTATGGCTGGCTAAAACATCTTTCGTTGCTTCTTTTAACATGAAAGGCCTCAGTAATTTCCCCAGCAGGCTGCTTTTTATGCCCAGAAAGAAGCATGATGTCAGTAAATTGTCATGCTCTGACGACAATAACCCGCTAAGTGAGACTGCGTCCTTTGGGTGAATGAACGCTTATGTTCTCCCAAACAGACACCCAGGCACCTTCTACTCCGCCCGATGGAAGGCCTACCGCATGACAAAGCATTGCTACGCAGCAGTCAACAAGTGTAACATCTGTCTCTTTAAGACCGTATTCGCGTTTGGCTTCCTGCAACCCGCTCAGCTGTGTGCCCTGCTTGTTCACGCGGGCACGCATGCCGGACAACTTGTTTGTAAATGAAAGAACGACATCCACCCCGTAGTGCTTAGCGAAGTCATTCACGCCAAGTCGAAGCCTGTGTGCGCAGCGTAAAACAGCGCACCCTTTTCGCTTGCGGCTGCTTTCAGTTTTTGCACTGACTTTTCTATAAGTTCACAGCATGCTTCCAAGCACGAATCATACTGAGTAGCTCAATTTTAAATTTTACTGCATACTTATACCTCACTGTACAGAAGACTGATTAGCGATGCGTTATTCAATTTCCGTTTTCCTGGTATGCTTACCGACGTTCTTGCGTGTGTCACAAAACCCCGGCCGCCGGGTAACCTCGATCCAGAACCCCTTGCCGGACACGAGTGGATTGGTGTGCAGATGGAAGGTCACCTCGTCTCTGTCCTTCGGAAATTCCACAATTTCTAGAAGGTGGAAAGAATGGGTGTAATAAAATAACTGAATGAAAAACCTGTTTCTAGCGATGTCACTAAGATCACCATGCAAGCACGGCTCGTTGACACAAACTGCTCATTATGAAGTTTGAGTGCAACCTACTTAGCAGTTAACTTATGGCACTTCATTAAATGCATCAAAATTAAATAAGCAACTGATCAATACATGGCAGTGTAAGTTCGCACCAAGCTTACGATTGCCTCCAACGCTTGGTATTTCATCCGCCATATACTTTTTGAAGTGCTGTGCAACAATCTGAGCAGAATTGTGTGCAGAGTCTGAGCGATTCTTGTACAGTCATTCACAAAACTTGTCTCATGCGAATTGTTGTACTTCGGGGAAACATTTCTGATGTCTACCTGTAATGGCAGCGATTGGTGAACGAAAATTACAATTCAACGCAGTTAAAAGTAAAAAAAAATCAGGTAACTTGGTCTTTTGGGTTGATGTGGCGTTCCGCATTTCCAAGTTTCGGGCATTCGTAGTTAATATTTGCGAACAGGTTTAGCTGCGAAAGCAGCTTTTCTGCGCACGCAATGCAAGAAAGCATGCGCACGTTGCCGTGCAACCACACCCAACGCAAAAAAGTAGCACAATAACGACACAATTCAAGGACGCAGAGTAGTGGAAATTTTAAATAAAGAAATAATAGGTAGTTCCCGCTTTTTTGCAATCTTAAGGCCTTAAGAATATCCAGTGCATCGCATTATTTTACCCATTTTGATTTAGACAATATGACGAAGTTTTCAAGACCACCTAATTAATAATCAACGAAGCCCCCTTTTCTCAGACCTGTACAACATGGACGCTCTGCTTAAATGCTAAAATTGATTTTTTTTAATTAAAACTTACGTTTACATTAGCTTAAAAGTTCTTTTAAAAAGTATTCCGGTCCGTTAAAAATGCTCATTTGAATTTTTTTAATGCGCGTGGCAGTTACTGAGTCCACTTACCTTACGTGTGTGATACGGGCATGAAGACACAGTTGCGTGCATTCATCTAGCATACAGTTGGGCCTCGGTTAAATTTTATTGGGGTGGCAAAGTATACTCTCGTGTTGAAAAATTAGGCAAACTGTTTAGAAAGTGCGATATAATGAAAATCGGCACGCTGCGGCTACTGACGCAAGCCAGACCGGGAGCACTCATGCGAGCACTTGAACAAGTAAGCTTCCTCCTTATTCCACATCGCCGAAAGGGCAACATGTTACTTGTAGTGAAAATAACTACGTTTTCATTGATGTGACGCTCTCCAAACCGTGATTATGAGTCACTGCATCTGTACAGAACGTGGAGCAACTGTGGCACTCGTAGGGAACACAACGAATTGTGTTCTTGGAATGGGAAACCTTCGAACTGTTTTGAAACTCTTCTAATTGTGAAAAAGGCCTGCATGGCTCAAGTAAACACTCTCGAGGCCGTTTGTCATATCACAGAGGTGCAACACTGTAATGTTCTTGGGGTTGAGATCAACCACCATTAATGATGTCTGGCCAATAGAGAAATAGAAGATATGAAAAAAAAACTAGGGAACAAACAAAACATAAAAGGGGGAAGCTCAGTCTCTGGGTGAATAAATAACAACCTGCTATAAAGAAATTGTTCTGTGCACATTTTTGATAAACAAACATGAAATAAACTTGTTTCCCGCCTTAACTTATTAATTCTAAATCAACTTCCCTGTTACATTTGCCCCATTAGCACAGCACCGTTACATAACTGAAGACATTTTTTATATCAACACAGCAAACATTAGTACGAAGCAACTGAACCTTAAAATGGCGTCCTTATTCAGAAGAGTTTTCAATTTTTTAGCAGTTTATTTGTAGTATATTGACAAAATGACTAGCCTTGTTATAAAAAAAACTGCAAAACTATGACGACACGCACAAAAATTGTAATTTCAGTGCAAATGAAAGAAGAGACGCTGAGAAATAAAACAAAGACAAACTGGAATGTTTTACATCAAGTACATTTCGAGAAAATGGGCCCCAAAGAAGCCTTAAAATACATCAGAGGTACAGGCCGTACTTTGTTCCCTCAAGAGGCCATGACACGGTCACGCAAATATTCGTGGTTTTCGGCAGATAGTAGAAGCAGAGGGTCTACTATGCTTATAAAAATATGAAAAGTGCCTTGTAAAATAATATTTCGGTGCAAAAGAAGTCAGAATTCACCGGCAGTAGACTCCACTCACCACCGCCATTTTCTACGGCGCGTGTGACGTCTTGGACTGGAAGGAGTGAAGCCACCGTCTTCTAACGAAGTTTAAGCCGCGGCAAATCAGTAAATTTCGGTGCCAAGGTGGCGAAAGCCAAGTTATCTATATTGCACGCGCAGCGCACCACGGAACAATATTGTTGACTGTAATGTGCAGGCTCGCACAGCTAGTCGCTTGTTACGGCAAGGCTCGCAAGTGCACCAGTGCCAGCCGGCTCTCAGGCAGCCCGCGTTTTTATAAGATTGCTCAACTCTAAACGAGGTGCTCGACCAAACACGCTGAAATTTAGTCAGCTTATTTGTGAACGCACAGTGATCAATCCATGCAAGACCGATTATGACTGAAAATCGGGTGTCATGGCCCACTTGAAGTGGCGTTGCAACACTTTTTCAAATAGCCGTACATAGAATGGATTCACTAAAGGAACTTATTGGCTCACGAAATCATTGCCGCATTTTTTTTGTTTCTGTCCAGCACGAGTGGAGTTACAAGAATTAATTGCTGCCCCGCCGCGGTGGTCTAGTGGCTAAGGTACTCGGCTGCTGACCCACAAGTCACGGGATCAAATCCTGGCTGCGGCGGCTGCATTTCCGATGGAGGCGGAAATGTTGTAGGCCCATGTGCTCAGATGTGGGTGCACGTTAAAGAAACCCAGGTGGTCGAAATTTCCGGAGCCCTCCACTACGGCGTCTCTCATACTCATATGGTGGTTTCGAGACGTTAAACCCCACATATCAATCAATCATATCAATCAAAAATTAATTGCTGTCTTCTCTCGTCCCGGCGAAAGCGCTGAAACTAATTATAGGGTGATGGCAAGAAAAAAAAATGTCACACATGCCTCGTGATCTTGAGCCCTTTTCCTCCCTCTCTCTCTCTATCTTTTTCTTCGAATAAACGGCTTTTGAGTGCAATGGAGCACGCACGAATGGACAAGTTGCGGCCTCCCGTGGCAATCCCTGTAACGATGCATTTTTGAGCATCGGTAATTTGTCAAGAGAAAACAATTTTTAGCCGACTTCGAGAATTTACAGTGAATTCGAGGTGGCGTGCTGCGCTATGCTATTTGGCTCGCGTGTTCTCACGAGCATCTACTACCCATTGGTATCGTTTTCTGACTCTGCTCAAAACGTGTTGCAGGGCCCTTTTAAAAGGCAAACGAAACTATGAGCGATCCTGACGTCATCTATACAACAAAAAAGACAATGATTTCATTTCTACCTAAGCGTTTGCGCAGCCTCGGGATATGTATCCAACAAGGCCGCAAGGACTTTCGCCACAGCAAAGCACCCTTGCAGCTTCGAATGCATTGTATTTCGAGGGAAACCCTCTCCACGTACATAGTACGAGCCGGAACCATCACCCACAGTGGGATCCGATGTACTACGCACAACCCTGTTGCGAAGTTTGAAATGTACATGTTTGTAGTATGCAGTGTCTGATATTATACAGGAGATGTTTGTAGTATCAACGAATGTTTGAAGTAATAAGAATGAATGTTGGGATTTTGAGTACGAAAACAACGACATGGTTATCACGGATGCCACAGCGAAGAGTTCGGGCAAGTTTTGACCACCAGGACTTTTTTCTTTCTTCAAATGTGCACTAAGTACACGGGCCTCTAGCATTTCGTTTAAATCAATCGTGGGTTCCATCCCATGATCTTCAGGTTCGCTATGGAGCACCATAACCTTTTAACCACCTGGTGGATGTAAGTGAAGTTGTTCTTTCCTGCTCTATCGATCGGAACATGTCACGGTGCGGCTCATGTATTCTAATCTCACCGCGCCATGCATACCTGTGTGGCCACGGTAGCGGCGCCGTCCACAGAACCGCTTGTCGGCGACGGCCAGATAGTCGTTGCGGCAATCGGGCGACTCTTCCAAGTCAAAGTCGTGGAAATGCACCCGAAGCGAGCAGGCACCACCCACCCGCTTGACGCGGTAGGTGCACTCCAGCAATGGAGGGTAGTCCAGGGGGTAGCCGTAGCTGGTGAAATTGCCCTCGCCATCGAACAGGCAGTAATCGCACACACCCTGGTGCACGAGCCGGCTGTCAGCTGCATAGAAAATGCATTAGAACACTTGTGCGATGCTCGTACGTGAAGTAAACACACATGTCAGAGCAAGTGGGGAGACGCTGGGCAACACCGTCCGAAAACAATCTCTGCACTTAATAAGAGGCGGCGTGTAGCTTTGTGGCCGTTGTGGGTTCACTCGCTTGACCATAAACATAAGGAGAAGAAACATGCAGTATAAAGGCAGAACACCAGCATATTTTGAATGCACAAGCATTCTGCATGTGTACAGTCATAGCGGCGATGATACTCGACGTCCGTCAAGTAATCAGATCAGTGCTACGGAGCGTGGCACTGAAGATTCTAACCTTATTGTTGGGGACCGCATTAGTTCCAGAATAAACTGTACTTATCACGTTGTGCGCTCAAGCTGCTCAGAACAATCTAAAATAGTCGGGTATGTTTTGCACACTGGTGCGGAAGTGTACCAGTTATACGTGTGACGGGTCTGTTAAATGAAAATAAAAAAAGAAGTGTGGGTGCGGTCCCCCCCCCCCCTCGTGTAAAGGCGCCTTCCTAGAGATAAATATATACGTACAGATAAACATTGTTCGACAAACATCTATATACCAACCAGTAAAATTTCCAGAAGAGCAGCTGAGATTAGAGTTCGAATAATTAAAATAACTGCCCATCTTCCTGAACTGCCTTGCGGAAAATTGGCAACTCCTTTAGCGTTTGCCTATTTAAAACAGCGAAGGTGCTGGGATCGCCTTGGGGAGGCTATCACATTGCCATGTTCTGCAAGTGTTCCAGACGTGTTATATCACTGCCATTCACTAAACCTCTCGGTTAAGTTTTCGGCTGGCAGTCTAGATTTATCGCATCTTGACTTTTACACACAGCTTTACAAAGCAACCTTCTCAGGCTTAGGACGCCGTAATATGTGTTATCACTACTCCTTATGAAATACTCTTTGATCAGCTTTGATGAAGTGGTATAGCTAACGCATTATATAACCACAAAGTATCTTGTGACAGTGGAGCGACTATGGTAACTCGCACGTCATTTGTTGGGCTGTTAATTGCTTTGTTCATATTTAGTAGTTGCGCGTAGTGGGAGTTCCTCTTATTTCCTGTCACATAACGCCCATAGGCTGGTGATATTTTAGGGGGCGAAGCTCCTTAAGCCATGAGTCGTACGTCTCCTATGTAGTAGTAGTAGTAGGTAGCCACCTCTCGTTTAGTCCTTGGAATGTTCGCTGGATAGCGGTACTTGCATATGATGAATATAATATGAAAAGATGAGAGATCGCGGTACCTGGAGTGTTCAACGGGCAGACTTATGGACGGACAAACAGACAGACAGACGGACACACGGACGGACTGATGGACGCTTTGCCCCAGTCATCGTCATTTACTCCGTGAATATGCTGTAATTTTTTTTCCCTATAGGCCACACAGATTTCTATGGCAAGTACCCGTTTGTTGAGCTATCTGCTATAGCTTCGTCCATGTACGTGCGATGCCAGTGCGCGGTAAAGAACACCACGGCGTGCGAATTTCTAGATCCCTCCTCTTCGGCGTATCTTATATTCATGTCGTGCTTTTGGGACGTCAAACCCCAGCTGTAATCATATATATGTGGCCTTCATTTTTAGTGGACAAGTGGTGAACCGTGGGATATACACCACATCTGCGCAGCATACCTGGTTATGATGTCCGCAAGAGTTACAACGGATCCCAGGCATGAAAGGGTCGACTGAGGAGAGCTCCACTGTTGAAGGACGAGCTATTTCTCTCACACGGCGATGCCTGGTTTATCACACAATACAGGTGATCACGCGCAACCCTAGCAGCTTTGATAACAATTTTTGTGTGGTCGTCTTCATTTATCACTCACAGTCCTACTGCCAAATGGAGCCTTGCGTCCTTATCTGCTGAAATTTCGTGAAAAAAAAACTGTTGTCGTTAGGCATATTGCAGGCATGCTCTCACAGCGTGTCGTTCTTACATTTCCCCGTATATATCTGAACATCCTTGCAGTTCAGGAGTCACTTGTGAGAGAGCAAGGCCATATGACAACTTGATTCACTATGGACTGTCGATGGTTGAAGAAACTATAGATAGTGCCATCGACAGTAGCTTTTACATCAATGCAACCACGCGAACATCTTGCAGCATGAATATGAAGTTCGTTCTCCGAGTGTGTGGTACAGTTTAAGCTTGAAAGAACCGAACCCAGATTCTACGTGGTTCCCAATTGAACAAAAAAATTTTCACTGCCTGAAAAATAAACATAGGGTTCAGTTTTGTCATGAACATACATGGTATTTTTTACACGCCTAACCAAGACTATAAGGCATTACACAATGGGCACCTCCAGCATGAAATCAACCAGCCGTGGTGCTTTTACATGCATATGAATCACGGTACGTGGTTGTTCTTGCATTCCGTGCCCATTAAAATGCGAAGGCCTAGAATCGCACCCGCGTCCTCGTCCTTAGTATTGTGACATTTTACCTCCTAAGCTGCCACGGTGGTTTGATATGCATGATATTGACGCCTGAATTTACTCTGTACTACAACACTGCGTCAGCCTATTACGGCTTCAGGAAATCAGGTGGTAATACCTTATTAGAGGGTGTTGTGATCGGCCCCATTGTCTTGCTTGGACACGTGAAAGGACACGTGAAAGGACTCGACAGAACGGCGAATTATTTAGGTCCGTCGGCTCGCCTCAAGCCGTCTAGGCCCGCACAGTGGATGAATCACCTAGAAAGGGCTGTTTTGCTCTCTGGGCTGCCTAGAAAGACCGCTTCCCTCTGCAGGTATGGAGTCATTGTGATACACATGACAATCTATGGAAATTGACTAGCTATGGAAATTAAAACTAGCCAGATGCGTACACACAGTTAATAATTACAACCACCCTTTTCATGTGTCGATGTTTTCCGCCCCTTCTCGTTCTACTAGACAACTAACCTTTGGTAAATGGAATATTCCACGAACTAACAACGTATATGGTTAACGGCTTCTACAGTTTGTTGGTATTAAAATCTGGAATGTTATTCCTTTTGAAATAAAAATGTGTTCAAATTTCACTAAGGCACCAGAAAAACACTATTTAGAAGAACGTACTGATTTATTAATGTCCTGTCATAATTAGTCTGATGACTGTCTTCATTTCAATGTGTAAGTAGGTGTTTATTCCGTTTTCGTTCTCTCGTGCATTGTAACGGTTTAGTGCGGTTATTTCATGCACTGTAATGTTTCTTTGCCGATTATTCATTACATTAGATTGCAAAAAATTTAGTTATTTTTTATTGATATTGTATAACTTTTTTAGTTACACTTTCCCGAAGTGCCTTTATAAAATCTATCTTTTTCGGACCCAAACTAGCCTATGGCTATGGGTCCACGCAGTGTATGCAAATTTTTTTGTAAAAAGTGCAACCAATAAAAGTCAATTCCATTCAATGAGCCACGTACGGTAGAAAACCTCTTCGGGAACGTTTGGCGCATTTCAAAGGGCCTCTCCTGTGCACATCGGACTGCCCGGTGGCAATGCCTTCTTGATGAATCACTTTTGAACCTGGACAACCGGTTGCATCAAGTATGCATGTGGGGGTTTCAGGTCAACGCACCAGGACAGAAGTACCGTGCTGGTCACCTGGTGGGTTGTGTGTACTGCCCCCTCCCTGTACGGCGAACTAGGTGTGCCTTTACACTTTTCCTGGGAGGGGTTTGGAACTTTGCCTCTTCGTGAGCACAGTGGTTCGCGAGCACAACAAAATAGACGATCCTAGTGGAGGATCCCGAACGCCAGTGTATTCCCTCGCAGGGAATCTTAGGAAAACGCAGGGTATAAAACACGAACGCAGAGACGCTCTGGTGTGCTTTTCTTTTTTTGCCATGTACCACGCTACTTTAATCATGTAAATACTGTAAATAAATGTTTCTAGTTTTCAGCTCCGTCTGCACGGTTCATATCCGCCTTGACCCATAGAAGGCTTTGATTCCCATCGAAGTCTCTCAGTCGCAACAAGGCAATAAAACCAGGCTTGGCGTGGTGATATGGAGGTGCGCAACGAAGTCATGAAATAACAATAAATGGAAAGTAGAGGGCATGAGACGCAGGAGACCCGTAATTAACTGAAATCTTAATTGCACTTTCACTGTGAGTCCCTTAACACGTCTCAACGGAAGAACAGAAAACAATCACGGTAGGATGGATTGATTCATATGTGAGCTTTAACGTCACACACCACCATATAATTATGAGAGGCAGCGTAGTGGAGGGCTCCGGAAATTCCGACCATCTGGGATTCTTGAACCTGCACCCAAATCTGAGCACACGGGCCTACATCATTTTCGCCTCCATCGAAAATGCAGCCGCCGCCGCCGTTATTTGATCCCGTGACTTGTGGGTCAGCAGCCGAGTACCTTAACAACTAGACCACCACGACGGGGCGATAACGGCAGTAATTTTGGCTTCTTGGTTCATCACCGTCGTAGAAAAAGAAGGTGCTGGTTGACCAAGTGTACACTGGTAGCAGCATTAAATCAGTGCCCCGTCATGAATATTCTAAGACCCTGCTGCCTATATTCAATCCAGCGAATTAAAAATTTATGCATACAACAAAAACACACCAACTCTTCTGTTTTAAATGGCGAAATTTTCAGCACCTTAAGTTTCCGTGGTACAGCTCATGGTGTGCAAAGAGACAATTTGAAGTGACATTTACTAAATTGCGAAACAGGATTCCACTATCATTTTTTATTTATACATGTCTGATTTTCTTCCTTACCCCCAATACTGCCATCGGAAACAAGAAGAAAAAACAGAGCACGTTTTCACAAAATGCCAAACGTATGGAAATTTAAGACAAATATTTCTGACACAACTTTTTGGAAAACATGGGCTCGAGCTGTCTCAAACGGCATTACCCTTTCTGGAGGCGCTAGCACTGAGTCATTGCAACAGGGAGATATATTGATCGGTATATAATTATATAATATCAAAATGGCCAACTTGATTAT